CATAGACAAATAATCCTCTTGAGTAGAAGGATAAGCCGATAGGCTATGTCGCCGGGGCTCGAATGATCTAGGCATAGCATAAAAAATATGCACTCGATTATTGAAAGTTTTGACATTATAGATCAATTTTCGAAGATGTTCTTTCCATGTAAAAAGAGATCTTAATCTATTTTATCAGCATTTTTGTCTTACATAAGCGAACATCGATCGATATCGTATCTCGAGTGTTGTTCAAGATTGTAACGAGTTTGACAGTTGTCATGATTATCATCGAGTAAAAACTAAATAATCTGATTAAAATAGTGTCGATTGAATTGCTTTTTAATCAGATCAAAATCAATTACCATCATAGTTTTTTGTTTACGTAGCTCTCTGGTTTTTTTTTATCAGGCAGTTGTCTACTATTATTCTCTATATTTTCCAACGCAAAACTTCTAAAAGTCAAGGACATTTTAAAAAGAATCATCGAAACTTTTAGCCACTACCGTCGGTCAATGTATTGGCTTACGAGAAAGTGTTCTCAAAAGTTTCTTTCCGATTTCAATGATTTTTTCTTTTAAATATTACATAGTACTCTAATAAAAACTCTCAACAGATTTGAATTCTTATTGGATATCGAATTTTTAATACGTCTATTTTCTAAAGCACCCTAGGTTGTTGAAAACTTCGTGTTCTAGAGTTTCGATTTAAAATTTTGCACATATCGAGAAGTCACCTAGAGTAGCTTTCGTGAAAAATTCACAAGTTTTGAAGATAGTCTTTTCGAGATATGAAGTTTTTAAAAAAATGCATGCTATATACGCTATTTATAGAACAGGATCTATATATTGAAAGCCTCATATTTCGAACGGACTCGGTTCAAAACTTCTGAATTTTTTATAGAAACTAGTCTAGTAGGCTCCTGAATAATATATAAAATTTCAGACCAAAATTCAAGAAATCCGAATTTTTCGATGTTACTGGGTATTTCAACAAAAAAAAGTTGTGGTCTCCTTCAAGTCACGTAACAAAAATCGACTTTCGACTTCAAACTTTGCACAAACAAAGTTCTTATTGAGATTAATTCATTGAGCAACTTTTAGCTTTTCTACTGGATATGTAAATATATGAACAAAATTTTCTCTTACACATGAAAGAATTTCGAATATTTTATATCTAAGAATAGAAAAGTTACAATTTAGTCTATGAACTAATCTCAATGAGAACTTCATTCATGGAAAGTTTGAAGGCGAAAGTCGATTTTTTACGTGACATGAGGAAGACTACAGCTTTTTGTTGGAAAACCTAGTAAAATTTTACTATCTCACGAAACAAGGTCTGGAAACATAAATCATTTATGACTTTTTTATTACTCATCAAATAAACATCGTCTCAATAAAATAGCGATTTAACACCTGAACAGGTTCTCTTATCACACCTCTTCTCGTGAGTAGTGTTCTCATAAGATAGATGACTAATTCGTATTACTAGGCAATTCAAATGAAACAGTGATGAAAAAAAATTACATAGAAGTTTAGTTCGATCTGTTGAGACGTGAGCATAGGAGATTGATTTTAATGTAAAAAGAATATAGAAATAGTATCCATATTTTTTAGGGTTAGGTTACGTAAGGAAATTCATTTCGATCTTATAAATTTTTCTAGTAAAAATAAACTTTTTAATTCAATCCAACGTCAAACTAGGTCTTGAATTCCTTTCATTGAATGTGTACAAAATGAATTTCTACTATAGATCATCGATGTTTAATCTAGATGCTTGCAGCAGTATTGCTTAGCTTTTATATATATATATGTATGGATATATAATTTTTAGGAGTTAAGAATATACCAATTGAAACTGATATTCTTATTATTGGTGTAAGTATAAAATCTTTTTTTTTCCGACTATTGTTAAGAAATTCTTTAAATCTAGGGTGCTATCCAAGGTTCTGCAATAGCTTTTTTTCTTAAACAACGTGCACCTGATCTCAAAGTCACTGTTATTGAACGTGATTGGAATGTAAGACAAAACTTAACGAAATCTTTCTCTTATTCTATATTTTATAATTTAGTATACAACTTCAAGTACCGTCCTTTCTGCTGGCGGTTTACGTCAGCAGTTTGCACTTGTAATTATTCGACTTCATATTTAATAAATCATAATAAGATTTCTTTTGTGTAGGAAGAAAATATTCAAATGTCTGTTTATGGTGCTGAATTTTTGAAACATATTCGTGATCATTTATCTATACTTGGTGAAATCCGATTCATTGAATTTTATTTGTTTTTATTATTATTATTATTTTTTAATTTAAGATAATGACCCAGTACCTGTTACATTTCATCATAATGGTTATTTATTATGTGGAAGTGAAAAAAGTGTTAAACTTTTTGAAGAAAATTATAAAACACAAACGTAAGAACTCTTGTATATTTAATTTTCATTATTTTTTCTACTCATGAATAATATTAATTTAATTGAAAGGATCAAAAAATACCGAAAGTGCTATTAATAAAGTTTCAGCATATTTATTCACTAACTCTGTATGAACAATCTATAGGAGCATCGATCTTTTGTATTTATACATGAATAGTGTCTGCTCTCAAACTACATAACATTATTTTGGAAATTTTTTACTTTCGAAATTTTTCCCTTCGATCAAATCGATATATGTATATCCTATGCATAGTTTAGATCTTTAGGGGCGAAATTAAAATTATTGACACCAATTATGCTAAAAAAACAATGTCCTTGGTTAAATACAGATGGTATTGCAATTGGTTGTTTCGGTAAAATTCAATTAGATTATATTTTTGATTAATTCAAATTAATTTTGATTTAGGTGTACAAAATGAAGGTTGGTTAGACCCATGGGCTTTCTTAACTGCTTTTCGACAAAAAGCATTATCACTTGGTGTTTTATATCTTAATGGTTTGTTTGTACGAACAAATTATTAAGAGTCATTTATAGTCAAGTTTTTTTTTTTGTTGATAATTTTTTAGCGGAACTTGTTGGCTTTGATAAAGCAAAAAGAATATGGGCTGATGGAACTATAGAAAATCAATTGGATAAAGCTTTAGTAAGTTAATTTTAATAATGATGTTACAGTATTGGTCAAAAGTAGAACATATGCGTATTTTTTTTTTCTACGATACTAAGCATTTAAATCAAATCTAAAGAGCGGTTTGAATAGTCAATGAAGTTATTTATCAAATACATTCTCTATCGAAATTTCATTTCACGTTCTACGAGAAGAAAGTTTCGCATAAACCAAACACGGAAGTTTTTAGGTTCTAGAAGACTGTGAAAATTAGTTGTATAGAATACCATGTGAAAGAGCACAAAATTCTGAATAAAATGAGAGGTTGTCGCATTTCTTATGACATTCCCTTAAAAATTTTAAGCATGACAAAGCGAAAATTTATCATAGCATTACTAAACAATACATTTTTTTTAATGATGCTTATAACTTTTTAATGGAATGTTAAAGGAAATGCGTCAACCTATCATTTTATTCAGAATTGTGTACTTTTTAATATAGTTTTTTTCTTTTGCAATTAATCTTTACATAATCTTCCATAACCTAAAAACTACGGTGCTTGGTTTTTCAGAAACCTTCTTCTCCTAATTCATCTATCAAACTTCGGTATAGAATATATTTGATAGAGAAATTCATGAACTATTCAAACCACTATTTAGATTTGATTAGTTTTATATTTTTGACTAGTATTATAGAAGTAAACACTATAGATATATTATCGACGAATAGAATATGAAATTTTTTATATGTTGTAATTTTATTATGCTTTATATCTCTATCTGAATCGTGAGACTTTTTCTTTTGTTGAACGAAGTTGTTATGAGTGTAGTTATCTTATAGAAAGATGCATCATGTTTACATTCTGAATCACGATCGTCAATGAGTGTTGCAACACTAGCAAAACAGTGACACATACCTTTGTCATAGCGAACGAACGCTCGTGGCAGATGACTTGATTTTATTAATGCATGACTAAGATTCTTCTTTACATATAGATATGTTGGTAAAAACTTTTTTCTTGAGACTATTTGGAAAAAAATTTACATCCGTAACTGGAATAAAATTTCATTCGTGCTTCTATACATACTGATTATAATTTTGAGAACAGTCTTTTGCTGAAAATTATCATTCGTCTATTCTATTGTATAATATTTTCAGAATCTCTCATTTTCAATCGAATGACAAAAAAGTCTAACACTTCTTAAATTAATCCATATTAAAATAACAAATAGTTTCTCCACAATCGATTACATTAGTAAAAGTTGTTAGTGCAATACTTGCATGATAAAAATATGAAAAATGATGTAGCTGCTATTGCTAATCACAAGAAGATTATTTTATTCTATCGATTTTGGGATATATATCTTCACCATTCTTGTGTTTAATCCTCCAGAAATGCAACAAGAAAATATTTAATATATTAAAATAAGACATGATTGATATACAATCTTTGATTGCATATCAATAATGCCCGTCATGGTCTGTCATGATCTCTAATTAGTGTTTGTCATGGTTTCTGACTCATGTTTGTCATGATTTTCAAATAACATTTGTCACGTCGTGTTGGAGAAGGTCCAAAAATGTATACCTCTATCGCGCAATACTTATTTTATTTTTCACACAACGTCATCAGTTCATGAAAATGATTGTCCTTATATTAGTTTATGATGTACTTCTCACACTACTTCCTACTTGATAGACATGAATTATGACTCATTTTATATAATATCACTCAATCATATTGACATGTTATTTAGATTCTATCAGCTGAAGATAATAGAATATATCCAATGGATGCAGCATTTGTTATCAATGCTGCTGGTCCTTGGGCTGGTGAAGTAGCAAAAATGGCTGGTATTGGTGTTAGTGGTGAATATCCAGTTGCATTGCCTGTTGAACCAAGGTAAAAGAAAAATGAAATCATCTCTTTTTTTATTTACATTTTATTATTTTTTTTTTGTATATAAAATAATGATTCTATTATTCGAAAGTACTGTCAGCCAAACTCTCACTAACATAGCTATTCGCGCGTTGATAGAAATCTTCTTCATCCGGTGGAAGAACTTTTGATAGTTTATAGATACTTTGTCGTTCGACCACCCATTTCCAAAATTGTGAATTATCTGTTGTATCAATAACAAAACCAAAACGTTCAAAATAATTTCGTAATCGTTGTCCATTTGTATGTATTGTTAATAAATTTGCACCAGCTTGTCGTGCAAATTGTTCAACACATTCAAGCATAGCCGAACCAATACCATGATTTCGATAAGCAGATTTAACACCAATCATTTCAATATAACATTCTTCAATATTCGTTGGAACATAATTTGCTTTTCGTGCCATCCAACGATGCATTGATGTTAAACAAGTATTTTGTGGTACAATATCTGATGTTTCTGGTATAGTTGGTGTTTCTTTTGGAAATAACATTGTTACTGCAGCTAAAACTTCGCCATTGATTTTACCAAGAAGAACATTTTGATATTCACGTGCATTTGGATTCGAGTCTGATGATGATGAGAAGAAAAAAAAAAGAAAAGTATTCATTGATATTTTTCAAATATCTTTATTGTTTTTTTTTTACTTATTCGACTTTTCATTGCTGCACGAAATCTTTGTAATTCTTCATCATCTCCAATAAAATGTCGTAAACGATTATCGAGTGTTTCAAAATAAATATCAAGATACGCATCAACATCACCCGTACTAAATTGATGAATTTCAATAACATCATTATCACCACCGGTTGTAAATGATGAAACCATTGTATTATCATTATCAGTCATTGCTTGACTGGGTTGACTTAGTGTTTGAGATACAGGTTTTTTTTCTCGTCCATATAAATCATCTTCATCTGGAATACTAGTTACTTCATAATTATCAGATTTTCTGCTACGATCAGTATTTGTGAAATTTGATTTATTTGATTGTTGAGAATAAGTAGATGTTTCTAAAGCTGTTGATTGATTATTTCTTGAAGTTGAAATATTTTTCGGTGATGGCATAGACATATTTCCATTTTCCATATAACCATTTGAATCAACTGGACGAAGTGGAGCTCGTGTACCACGTTTTCTTGCTTTAGTTGATGTAATGTTATCATCTACAACACTTGTTCCACTTATTGTTGTTACAGAAAAACCGTTTGTATCCATCAATTGCAATTCATTCAGATTTAAAATTAATTACAACGACAAATAACCTGTGAAGTGCAATTTTTTATTCTTTCTTTCAGCCGATTTGAAGGCCTGTGATTGATATATAGTAAGAAAAAAAAAGGACTGTATGTAACAAATGAAAGTAGAATCACTGAAGCATAACATTATTTGCCTGACTATGCGCTGTACTATTCTGTCTTGTAGAATAAGAAAAAAGGCGATGACGTTGATTAATTTGTTCGCTTTTTTTTTTTCTTTTTTTGTCTCATTGATGTAATCATTGGTTTGTCGTATGTGCAAGGTATTCCTTCAGTGCGGTATTATGAAAATAAAAACATAAACGAAGATGAATTAAATATTTCAAGGTTTTAAATTTTATTTCATGAAAAATAAAATAGTTAAGAATAATTAAAATTTTAAACATATAGAACTATATTAATGATTGATAATGTTTAATTAAATTATTGATAGTTCTATGAAATTTATTTTATAATTTTTAGAAAACGTTATATATTTGTATTTGAATCATTGAATGGACCTGGTCCATTAGCTCCATTATTTGTTGATATAACTGGTGTGTATTTTCGACCGGAAGGTTTAGGCAATACATATATTTGTGGATGTAGTCCAAGTGAAGTAAATAAAATTAAATAAAAAGACATTCTTTTTTTTAATATTCAATTGATTATATATTTTTTTAGGAAAATGACAAATCAGAAAATAATTTAGAAGTTGATTATTCTGTATTTGAAGAACAAATTTGGCCAGCATTAGCTAAACGAATACCAAGTTTTGAAACTTTAAAGGTAAAGATAGAAATAGGAATTTATGTCTTATGAAAACATAGACATTTTAACATTGTTCTTAGAATATAAGATTATTTTTCTTATTTAGTAGATATTAGAGTGTGAAGTCAACTAAATATCTTATGCATAAGCCAAGTTACATATTAGAGGCTTTTGTTTTTTGACATTTACCACACACATTGTTATACTTTATACAGACGACCAATGTTTCTTGATGATATGCATAGATATGAAAAACTAAATCAAGGTCAAAGATCAAAGTTAAGGTTGACTGTAACTATTTTATCGGCCTCGATATTGGATATAATCTATTATTCTATATTTTGCATAATGTTTTATGCAAGTACACGCTTTCAATAACACTAAGAAAAAATCATCGCAAAAATATTCAAGATGAATATTTTCGATTTTATATTTTTAATAGAAAGATAAAACTACACAACATTAATTTATTTCGATTATGTAGTTGTAGAGCAGAGATGATGTATTGTATATACATATACTTAGTTTAACACAAATAACTCTTAAAGATAAAATACAATCTAAAAATATGAACGTAAGTGTTAATAAAAGAGTGATATGAAAAATTTCAGCATGATATTTGACTGGTATAAGTTCATGAGGACTGATGGTGTCTACTTACGAGAGAATCTTTTCAGATGTCACATCGCTTTTCGATCAAAACGATGTTTATTTGATAAGTGCTAATGAATAATCGAGAAGTCAAGAATAGCTTGGTTTTCTGAGCCTTCGTCCTTGAGATATCGAAATTTTATTGACTTTTTCAATGAAAACCTATGGCCTGTCTGAGGCTACATGAAAAATTGACTTTCAAATTTCTATTTCAAACTTTGCACGAACAAAATTTTTAATGGGATTAGTTCATTGAGCATCTGTCAGCTTTTCTCGTATTTCTTGTCTATAGATGTAAGTATATGAACTAAATTTGCTTTTACATATGAGATAATTTTGAATATTATATATATTTCAGCATAGAGGAGATACTAGAAATGTTACAATTCGTCCAACGAACTAATTTCATGAAAAACTTTGTTCGTGCAAAATGTGAAAGTGAAACTCAGAAGTTAATTCATCATGTGATCTAAAGATGATTACAGTTTCTTATCGAAAAACGATGGAATTTCGATGTTCCAAAAACAAAGACTCGGAAATTCGAACCATTCTAGACTTTTGTATTGCTCCGTAATACTCGTCAAATAAACATTGTCTCGGATGTCAGCAGTAAATATTGTCATCGTTCATCGTTCTACAAATGGTACTCCAATGATCAAGTGATAAAGATTTAACTACAAAACACAAAAACGAATTTCGAAATATATTTAATTACAATACTTTTTATTATACCGGATGATTGAATAGTTTTTAGATAAAATGATTGTTCAGTTTTGACTCACCAGAAAATATTTCCGACTGGTTTAAGTTTGAATGGAAAATTTTTGTAGTTTAATCTGATGACTTTATAATTTCCAAGTATTTCAAAGGCTCCTCATTACTCTTGAGCAAAAATAGACGCGAAATTCATCAGCCCATATTCAAAAAGACCATAAAACTCTAGTTTTAACTTCTTGGAAATACTTTTGTAGCGAATCATAAGTAAACAAACATCTTGTCTATAAACTTTTCCATCATCCTCGTTATTCCACATAAACATCAAATCTTATAGAAATTCTTTTAAAATTTTCAGCTCAAAAATGCCTGGTGTGGTTTTTATGATTACAATTATTTTGATCAAAAGTAAAACAAAACTTTTTGAACTATTTCAAATAAAATTAACTCGTTTTTTGTTTTTTACAGTCTTATCATTGGTCCACATCCACAACAGAAAAATTTCATTTTTGCTAATGGTTCAAGTGGACATGGTTTACAACATGCACCTGCTATTGGTCGTGCTTTATCCGAATATATAGCTGATTTTAAATATCAATCAATTGATTTAACACGTTTTGGTTTTCAACGTATAGTTAATAATACTCCGATATTTGAACCAATGATAGTTTAAAATAAAAAATTTAAATCAAACAAAACATTAAGATTTATGAAGACAAATTGATATTTTTGCAATCATCGTTTTGTTTCTTTTTCATGAATATCATTGAACAAGAAAAGAAATAAAATTTTCCATTTGTCTAATAGTATTCAAACAATACAACAATAAAATTTTATACAAAACAAAAAAAAAACGAATAATGTTAGAACAATCACCACATAGTGTCAATACAAAGAAAAAAAAACAAACTAAAAATAACCCTTTTCCCCTCTTTTATCGTTAAAAAAAAAACAGATGAGAATTTTATCAGCTAAATCAATTGACTAGTTGCTGCTGTTGTTGCACTTGAAACAACTTCCATCCATCTAATTGATAAAAAAGAAATCAAATAAAACAAAAATCTTAGTAAAATAAAAACTAATCATTTACCGATCAAAAGCATATTGACTTTCGGCTCGAAAAAAATAAACATGATTTTTAAATTGTAATTTAAATACAAAATCTTTATTAACACTATCAGATTCTGATGGTAATGAACTACGATAGCCAAGTAATGGTAATGATGCCAATGGAGAATCATCCTTAATTTAAAGAATTTATAGAGCCATGCAAAAAAGAAACACATGAAATTTTAATGAAAATTACTTGATAAGTTTTATAGAAGAATAAACAAAAATTCGTAAAAACAACCCATAATTTTTGCCAACCATTGGAATTTTTAAATTTACGTAATAAATAACCACTTAATTGATTTTTAATTGATTGTCGATGATCATTTATTGATACAGATAAATTCCGATGCCAACATACATGCATTGTTGTATTAGCACGATGTTGAAAACTTGAACGATCAAGTTGATTAGGATCATCTTCGTCAAGTGCACCAACTATAGAATGTTCAAGATTTTCAGATGATGCTAAAGAATATTTAAAAAAAAATCAAATAAAACTTTATTATTTGGTTTAAATTTCTCTTTTTTGTGTTACCATTGGATTTTATCGTAGATGTATATTGATGTTTATGATCGTCAATATTGATTTTAACATTTTCAATAGCTGATTTTAAATCATGAAACCATTTATTCTTTTCAGGTTCCGAACTAAAAAAAAAAATTTTTAAAAAAGAATAAAATAAAACTAAAATTCTATTTTTAAAATGAATTCAGCCGTTTCGTTGGATTCTAGTTTTAACCTCACATGAGCGGAACTAATGGCTTATGATTTCAGTGGAATTGACACTATCTTCCCAATATCTATGTAGAACATATGAGTCGTAATAATATGATATTTGACGAAAGTTTTACACAATAATCAAAATTATGATTCCCAACTGTTGGTTCTAATCCCATTTCTGACCGCAAAAAAAATTGGTTATAATTCCCGTACTACGTTGTTCATATCTAGTTATAACATGTACGATCTAAATTGTTATGGTTGAGCTAAAATAATTCATGTGTAGACGAAATCGGTTCGTATCAAGTGACAGTATAAAGAAAAGTTCAAACTTGTTTGAAATTCTATAGTATGAAAATTTAGAATATTTTTGGACGAGTTATATATTAATATTGCCTAGAATCGTACAGCCGATCGTATGTGCTTATTAGAATGTGACATAAAACAAACATTTTTAAGTGTTTTTCTTCAATCTAATGAAATTGGCTAGAAGAGAATTCTGTGTTATATAGAGAAATAGAAGTTGAATTTGAAATTTCAACTGTACGAGTTTCATCTTAACTTAAAGTTTTGAAAATTTACATGCTGTTATTAAGCATATATTGAACCCGAACGCTTGGGTTTGATCTCGACTCCAGTCAATTTCAGTTCATTAATAAACGGAAGTAGAAGTAAGCCAAAAGAGAGAATTTCAGGCTTAGCTATAGAGTAGATCTGTACACAGTAGGATACACGGTGCAAAAAAACCCAAGGTACACAGGCATCCTAAACAGTCAACAATAATTAGAAATGCTCACATACGAACTTAATCAAACTGCTAGGATGTTTCTATGATGACCCATATACTTCAATAAACACTTAGACAACTATTCAAATCCCTGACACTGTCTAAACTGGTTGAATAGTTTCCGAATCCCAACACGATAGTAAATATTTTCCTATGATCGTTTTAAATTTTAAGAAAATAATCGTTAGATGCAAATCTACATTTACAATATTTCATTCTAAAAACAAAATAATAAAATACCTTGCTGCTACAAGTAATGATCGATTACCAGCATAGATAGTGATCGAATTCGGAATTTGAATACGTTCATCAGTATTTTCAACCTAGAAAAAAATGAACTAACTATTATATTAACATTGTAGTAAAGAGAAAATATATACTGTCATTGTTTTTAATGGAAGTTCTCCATGTAATTTAAATTTAAGTACTGGACTAGAACTACGCGCACAATAAAGTAAAACATCAGAAAACTAAATAAAAATATTATTTATGAATAATTTAAAAAAAAAAAATATATATATATATTTACTAAAAAAAACATTCGTTGTTGATAGCCTTTTCGTGATAATTTTTGAAGACAACCTTCACGTATAAATTGCTGAAAAAAAAGTTTAAATTAGAATTATGTTTTGTTTTTAAAGGTAATAATATATCATCTTACGCGATCATATTGATTCGAAAGATTTTCAACACCGATCAGATCACGTTGAAGTTCAATTAATTTTTGCCGATTTAACTATAAGAAAAACAATTATGAAATTTCTTCTTAGAAATTAATTATACGACGCTTCATTAAGGTTTATACAGTAATGTTGGATACGGATCGTAAATTTTTCTCAAAAATGAAACTTAGTAATACATGTAAGATTCATGTGATATAAGAGTCGTGAAATTTATTTCGTTCGTGTCCTCCAAAAAGTCTTCTTTTTCTTTGTAAGATGCTCTACTTTCTGTGTTTTATATTTAGGTATTATAATCAAACCATAGCAAGTTTAATTGCTTTATGTCATTTCAAAGAGAATAAAGCAGACATATACGCCTTTCACAGTTTGAGATTTTACTCAGCATGACAAGTAAGTTTAGAACATGTAATGATGTACGTGTCAAAAGCAGAGGAACTGTCAAAAAAACAGCCTTTTTTTACTAATTATAGGAGTGGTAATAATTGATATAATTTTCACAATTTTTAAACATGCTGTTTCTTCTTAATTATTGATGTCTGATATTATCTTGACTTACATTCGCTTGACTTATTGTTTGAACCTATAGGTCAATAACTCATAAAAATGATATGCTGTCACTTGCGAAAAATGTCAGTAATTATCTTCAGTCACTTTATAAACTAGGAATAATACAGAGGTAAAACCAATTAGAACTTTTGAAAAGTAGTGCTGATTATGTCATCTTTTGATAATAGGTAAAAGACGATGTACCTGTCTTCAGAAAGCAAATAGCAGGTTTTAAGGCTTCGACGATAGTTCACTCCTACTGTTCCTCTAAACACATCAAACTTTCAAACGATTCTATCAATAAAAAGACAATCGAAAATACGAAATTTTGATTAATTGTTATATTTTTTTGTCTGCTTCTGAAATACCAAAAGTACTGATTTATTCAGGTTATAGATTGCGCGAACAAGCTTTTTTTTTTGTTCCGTCTTGTACATTTCTAGCACAGATAAAACTCTAGAAGATAAAGTTAAATGAATTTTTACTCTAACAAGTATTTGCAATAGTAGCATGTTTACATAAGTGCAATGGATTTATTTCCAGAGATTTATTAAAAGCATTTTGAAACCATGCTTAGGTCAATGTATTCGGTACAAAGATTAGAAATTGTTTTGGTCGATTAAAGAAATATAGTTAATACATGAAGTCATTGGTGTCAATTTCTAGATTTTTTGAAGCACGATCCAAAAGGAGTGTTAAATTATAGGGATAAATATTTGGATCCTCTGCAGATCTTGACAAATTAAGGATCGTAAATCAATAGCGTCTCGTTATTATATATGAACTGCTTTCTTATTGTATTTCTGAATGATTAAGTAAAAGGATGTTAAAGATATATATATATCCCAAAATAGATGTAATAAAACGATCGTCTTGTAATTATCAACAGCTGCTACATTGTCTTTTACATATTACTCATCCAGAGATTACGATAACAGCTTTTCTTTTTATACATAAATAAACGCAAATTCTGTGAACTAGACAGATTTATAATGAATTATCTTCTTCAGCTATAGTTTAACTCAATTAACTCATCTACTAACGATGTTTTGTATCGTTTTTCGTTTAGAGTAAGTTAGTCAAACATTCTTAAAAAGGAAATTTTTCATAACTATTAATACATACAGTGGGTACCAAAATTGATCAACCACCTTAATCAATTTTTTTGTTTTGTTCATACCTCAGAAGCTAAATAAGCTAGAACCGTCTGGTTTTTGTCATATACTAGTTCATGGTCTGTAGTCTACGTATACAAAATTTGAAGTCAATCTATTGATATATTCAGTTGT